GACTCGTGCCCATGTTGTGTGAACAACTCTGCACGAGCACCTAAGGAGGCTTACCTCCTTACCAGTCCGTGGTGGCGCGTACGTATCTCTACTGAGATGTACGAAGGGATTGACAACCTGAAATCCCTTTACGACCGTGCCGGGAAGACCTTCTCCGGCGGTCCTTCTGCGGCACAGGATGTGCCGCGTCGTACTGCTCGACCAGACCCAGTACGTCAACCATCAATTGGGAGCGGGGCTCCCAAGAATCCCAGGACGGGGGATATCCGCGCCACCGGACGAGGTAACTCGTCCGACGTCCGTTCACGTCGCGGTGGTTCAACAGCTGCTCAACTAGATAGCTCTGGCCACCGCGAGAGTCCTCTAATGGAGGTGGAGGAGGAGGAAAGACGCTCTCCACACGATCATGTGGATCGGTGTGTTCCCGAGAGCTTCTTTGATCGCGTAACGCAAGGGTTACGCGACGATCTCGAGCATGAGCGGAATAGGCGTCTCCAGATGGTGGACACTGCCTCGAAGCATCGAGCTGAGTTTGCCTTTGCTCAGCTTGAGAACGAGAGATCTCTGACATCTCTTCGTGACGAGCTAAGGGTAGCTCGTGGGATGGCTGATCGGTCTCGGGATGAGATAGCTGCTCTTCAGACCCTTGTTGATGCCCACCATCGGGAGCACAAGGCTCTCTGCGAGATGCTTGAGCGCAAGGGCGTTCTTCATCGGAAGAAGCAGCGTACTGATGGTACGGCTTAAGCCGACCAACGTAAAACGTGGGTGCGTTCGCATCTTACGTGGTAACTCGATCGTGTATGCATTGCCTAGGCGGTGCAATACACGAAATGGGCCAATGTACTTGGGTAGTAGTTTACTGCTACCCAAGTTAGTCACTACATGCTTTGGTAGATTAACCGTAGACAGTAGGACTAAGTCACCTTCATTAAATAAAAGAATGTTTGCCCTTCCATTCTTGTCAGCGTTTTGCTTTTGCTTATCCACCGCTTCGGCGATGGAGTCTTGCACAAAACGGACTACCGTTTCACGAGCCAGTAAGAACTCATCTGATGACTCGTTAGCTTCAGTGTGCTGTGAGCGCACTGCAGCAACATCAACCTTTTCTTCAGTGAGGGCTTCCGTGCTCTCACTGGCATCATTGTCTTCAGTGAGGGCTTCCGCGCTCTCACTGGCATCATCTTCTTCGATATCGATGTTATCGATATCGGCATCAAACGCAGTGACTTCTTCGTCAGAGCGTGATGAGCGTGAACCAAATCGGTTTTTGCTCGCGCGAGTCCCTACCCCCCTTAAACCAGAGTTACACTCTAGTAAGGTGGGTACACGCGGATGGCGCAAGCCATTCACGTAAAACGGTGTATGTGTCGTGGACGCATGCACCGAGTTGTTGATGGCAAACTCTACCATTGGCAAAATCTCACTCCAACTCTTAAAGGAGTGTACGTATCCTCGAAGTATCTCTTCAAGGACACGATTGGCACGTTCCGTCTGACCATCTGACTCTGGATGATCAGATGTTGACATCTTCAAGCGCGTTCCGAGTGATTTGAACACGGAACGCCAGAAATCAGCAGTGAATCGTGGATCTCTGTCTGATACGAGTTCACGGGGCAACCCATGAAGTCGGAAGATGGTGTCAATAAAGACACAAGCACAGCCACTTGCCGTGATTGTCTCTGGTACAGCCACAAGGTGTACCATTTTGCTGAATCTGTCAACAAATACGAGAATACCCGTATTCCCGCGTGCGTCTTTGGGTAACCCATAGACGAAATCCATTGAGATGGATTCCCAGCACTCAGCCGGAACCGGTAGAGGCTGTAAAGGTGCACGCAGTGAAGGACTTGACTTCACTCGTTGGCAGACTTCGCATGCGCGAACATACTTTCGCACAAACTGATACTGGCGGGGCCAGTAAAAGTCTCGACTTACCGTGAGATATGTTTTCTCTCGGCCACGATGTCCTCCTATAGGAGCATCGTGATACTCGAACATGATCCGCAAACGCAGATCAGTATCATCTGGAATGACAACACGTGGTGTGTCACCAGAAACGGCTGTATAGTACAGTAAACCGTTACGAGTAGTGTATCGATCTGATGCAGATCGATACGCAGGCGACAATCGTTTCAACGATTCTCGGGATGGTTGGGAGAGATGTGACAACAACTTCGCTATCTCACCATCTTGGGCGTATGCCCGCCTCACATCATCATACAACGTTGTAGATGGAACTGAGGACGTCATAACCGCAACAGTGACTGTCTCACTGTTGGGTTTCGCGACTGTTTCAAAGTCGGGACGACGTGAGAGTGCATCAGCGACGACATTAAGTCGTCCTGGTTTGTACTCGACCGTAAAGTTGTATTCTGCAAAGAATGATAACCACCGCGCCATTCGTTGTGAAAGGTGCGGGCTGTTCACTGCCGTGCGTAATGACGCATGGTCAGTGTAAACAACGAAGGGTCTATCTCCTAATAGATAGACTCTGAACTTCGCGAGTGCATACTTCATGGCAAGGAGTTCCTTGTCATGCACTGGATAGTTTCGCTCAGCTGGTTGCAGCTGACGCGACGGATAGCAGACGACGCGTTCAACGCCTTCAAGATCGTACTGCATTAATGCACAGCCGATTGCGAAGTCGCTGGCATCACAGACCACATGAAATGGCCTGTCCTGATCGGCTATTGCTAGGACTGGGGATTGTATCAAGCTCTGCTTGATACCCTCAAAGGAGCGTTGACATTCAGCGTTCCATAACCACCTCTCGTTCTTTTTCAACAAACGAGAGAGGTGCACAGTCATCTCGGCGTAATTGCGTGAATACTTATGCAAATACGCCGCTAGCCCAAGGAATTTTCGAAGACCTTTGACATCGACCGGCACAGGCCAGTCGGTGATCGCCTTGATCTTTTCGGGATCAGGACGTACACCGTTCTTACCAACGATGCACCCAAGAAGTGGTATTTCGCTTGCTGCAAATATACACTTCTTGAGGTTTGCATACAATTGATGCTTTCGCATGATTGTAAGAACTTGTCGGACGTGGTACCTGTGAACCTCAACGTCCGACTTTCCATCCATAGCTCGACTATGGATGAATACGTCATCGAAATAACTCAGCGCGAATTCTCGTACTGGCCTCAACAGATGTGATACACACCTGTTGAACGTGGCAGGGGCATTACTGAGTCCTTGTGGCATTACTAGCCATTCCCAGAGCATGCCGCTAGGCGTGCTAACTGCGGTATAGGGTATATCCCGTTCCCGCATTAGGATTTGATAGAAGCCATCCATCAAATCCATGGACGAAAAGATGGTACTCTTTGACATACCATCAATGATTACGTCCTTCCTCGGTATCGGCGTCTGAGCCGGTACCGTTGCAGCGTTCAATTTTTTGAACGCGTGCACTATCCGCCACCCTCCTGTTGCTTTTCGCACACAGAAGGTCGGAGAGCTATGTGGGGAAGTTGATTCCCTCACATGGCCCGCTGCTAAACGATCGGCAAAGAACTTGTCGATCGCAAGTACTTGTTCACGAGGCAGTGGCCACTGCTTCATGACACAGTACTTCGAGCCTGGTTTAAGCTCGACTTCGTGTCGAATACCTTTATCCTTCGGTAATTCGCACGGAACAGTTTCAGGGAATACATCCTTGAATTCAACCAAATCTTCATAGAGAGGATTTTCCTTGAGCGATTCCCATGATTGGGACTCATATCGCTCAATTCGTGTCTTTTCATCTAGGACACTCTCGTCCATAGATGAACTACTGAGAACTCTCTCGTTCTCAGTAAACACTGTTGCTGACCTTATGTCGGTTGCACACTCGTCGTCAGCGACGAGTATGCAGATCTGCTTGACTTTGCCACTACGCAGATCACGCAAGAACCTTTTATGTTCGAGCATTGGCAACTGAGTGATCTCCGAAGTTAACTTCGGAGGCGCAATCAGATCAAGTGTATAAGCGCCTACACATGATCCGTTATTGACTATGACATTCAATGTCTCTGTCATTTCCTGGGGACTTATTCCCTCAGGCTTCGAAGGACTTATTCCTTCGTCTTCCCGGGGACTTATTCCCGCGGGATTCGGGGAACTTATTTCCGTCGTATTTGTAATCTTGGGACTTATTCCCTTTACTTCCTCTAGCTGGGGTTGCGCAACCACAGCGAGATCCTCTACGAAAGACTCTCCAGTCGATCTAGGATTATCGTTTCGCTTAACCTGAGCGATCGATTGTTTCTCTTCTAGATGTTCCCCTCTAGGGATACATCTTTGTCCCAGTCCACCCGACTTATTCGAGTGGTGGACCTTCGGCGCAGCCTGTGTTTCCTCACAGCCGCCGGAACTTTGCTCCGAAGTGTAACCGTTTGTTACACTAAGGTTTTGTGCAGTCGTACTAACGACCGTATCACAAGTGAGGCCCTCGCACTCACTCGTAGTACATCCACACGCTTGTGGACGCTCCAAAACGTTCATCAGATGGCCATCTGATGAACAAGCGGCAGGCATCGTTACTGTCCGATGTTGCCAGTTTACCCGTGGTTCGTACCTTCTGAGCCACGGTATTCCAAGGATGACATCAAATTTGTCATCCAAATTCAATACGATAAAGTCATCGTCATATTGGGTATCTTCTAGCGTATAGCGAATCTTCACTATACGCTTCATGACGGTTACGGATGCGCCTGTCGCAAGACGTACCGTCATCCTCGTAGGAGGTGTGTCACATTCACTGAACTTAAAGTGACCATCTTCTAGCGATTGGCGTCGCACAAAATTGTTGGACGCCCCACAATCGACTAGAGCTCGAAGGGACAACTTATTCGTCACTTCGAGTTTCAAGGTAATGAGTGAGATCTCATTACCTAGTGCAGCAACGCACAATATTTGTGTGTTGGGAGCAACCTTCATCAAGAGGCCTACAAATTCTCTTGACGTTGCTGGACCAGTAGGGTGCTCCGCACCTACTGATCCTGTCCGTTTTTTTACGGTCCATCCCTTCGTTGCGTCTTTGCACCAACTGCGGACCCTCGTCCCTGCCCCTTTCTCATGGGTGGACGGTCACTACGCCGAGTGTCGCGAGACACTGGACGAGGGGCACTACACTCGCAAGCGTAGTGTCCTGTCTTCTGACATCTGTTGCATCTCTGCAACTTCTTGTAGCCTGTAGAGCGAACCTTCTCGCTCTCTACATAACAGAGTTCCATCGGCTCTGGACCTCCGTTGTCATATCGTCTCGGTTGACGATATGATGTCGAGCTGGCGCGAGCCTGTCTCAGACTGAAGTCTTCCTGCTCCGCAATGGAAATGGCTTGTTCTAGTGAATCTAGTTCAAGCCGGAACAGGTGAGTCTTGACGGGACCATCCGCAAGACCCTGCATGAACACCGAAACCAACGTGTGTTCATCCACTGGATTGGAACTTATACAACTCGTAAGATGTCGTATGTGTTGAGCGTAAGCGTGCACATCACGCTTACCCTGCTTGAGCTTCAAGAGTTCGGTTCGAGCCCTGAACTCAGCTCTAGGCGTTTCAAACGTTTGTCTGAGCCGCGACTTGAAGACTTCCAACGACCCAAACGCATATGGGTCGTGCAGCTTGAGCCCCAGTGCCCAAGTCTTGGCACGTCCTGCCAGATTTGACTGGGCAAATGCAACTTGCATTTCCCCGTCGTCGATGCGACGCGCCCTTATGGCGTCATCCAATTCGACGAACCATCTCAAGAGGGAGTCTTCTTCGACCCCCTGTACTTTGAGATGTCAATCTTCAAAGTCTCGGGTCGACGCGAGTGCATCGACCCGCCAGCAGCAGCCTGCTGCTGTCTCAATAGTTCAAACTGTTGAGCACCTTGTTCTCTCAACAACTCTGCTTGTTGAGAACCTTGTTGGTGAAGCAAGGCTACTTTCTCGCGTTCTGCGTCAAGTTCATTTTGAATCAACTTGGCGATAGTAGCATGTTGGGCATCTCTATTGAGAGCCACTAGCATGACGCTAACAGCATGGATGCCCACGGTCGAACCCATTCGTTCAACTGCATCCCATTCGACATCGCTCAAATGGGAGTAGCCGTCACGCGTAGCGTGAAAGCTTTGGTCATCTTCATCATCCAACATATTCATGTTGGATGTGAACGCGGTCCTTGGACGGACTACAAAGTGCTACCAGGTGTAACGGGGCACCCTGAAGCTTGTACTGGTGACAGTACAAGCTACTTATTCTGATAACAGAATAAGGCGGTGCCTCGTAACTTCACGTACACTAGTACGTGCAGAGGAAAGACGGTAAGAAGAAGCGAGTACTTGGTTAGAGTAAAAAGTAGAACTGTATTTATAATAGTTAATGTCTGCAATAAATCACTATTTATCTTCATCTAACTATGTCTAAATACAAATGTGTAAATCAGTTATCTGCTCACCACTCATTGCGTGCGTCTGTCGTGGCGCGTCTTCGTTGGTTGATATGATGGCCTATATCAACCAATTAGGAACTACTTGTAAGTGCTACAGAATATTTGTCCTTATGACAATATTCTGAGAATATAACTCTTATAGTTATATTCTATTAACAATTTCTTATAAATTGTTATGTAACGATTCACCCCGTTACAATTAATCTACCAAAGCATGTAGTGACTAACTTGGGTAGCAGTAAACTACTACCCAAGTACATTGGCCCATTTCGTGTATTGCACCGCCTAGGCAATGCATACACGATCGAGTTACCACGTAAGATGCGAACGCATCCCACGTTTTACGTTGGTCGGCTTAAGCCGTACCATCAGTACGCTGCTTCTTCCGATGAAGAACGCCCTTGCGCTCAAGCATCTCGCAGAGAGCCTTGTGCTCCCGATGGCGGGCATCGACAAGGGTCTGAAGAGCAGCTATCTCATCCCGATACCGATCAACAGTCCCACGAGCTACCCTTAGCTCTTCACGAAGAGATGTCAGAGATCTCTCGTTCTCAAGCTGAGCAAAGGCAAACTCAGCTCGATGCTTCGAGGCAGTGTCCACCATCTGGAGACGCCTATTCCGCTCATGCTCGAGATCGTCGCGTAACGCAAGAGTTACGCGATCAAAGAAGCTCTCGGGAACACACCGATCCACATGATCGTGTGGAGAGCGTCTTTCCTCCTCCTCCACCTCCATTAGAGGACTCTCGCGGTGGCCAGCGCTATCTAGTTGAGCAGCTGTTGAACCACCGCGACGTGAACGGACGTCGGACGAGTTACCTCGTCCGGTGGCGCGGATATCCCCCGTCCTGGGATTCTTGGGAGCCCCGCTCCCAATTGATGGTTGACGTACTGGGTCTGGTCGAGCAGTACGACGCGGCACATCCTGTGCCGCAGAAGGACCGCCGGAGAAGGTCTTCCCGGCACGGTCGTAAAGGGATTTCAGGTTGTCAATCCCTTCGTACATCTCAGTAGAGATACGTACGCGCCACCACGGACTGGTAAGGAGGTAAGCCTCCTTAGGTGCTCGTGCAGAGTTGTTCACACAACATGGGCACGAGTCTCCCCAAGAGAGGCAGGGTAATCCTTTCTCCCTTGACAGACGATACAGCTTGTAGCGTGCACCTGTCGGGGTTCGCTTTTCAAACTTATCACGAGCTTTGATAAGTTTGTCGTTCCAAGCGTCACGACCTACATCCTCGAGGTTATGGATGTAGGCGTTCCACGCCTGAAGTAGTGAGGGACCATCACGTTTGTGATTCCCACTGTACCATCGATGTCTGAAGAAAGCATCGATGAAGAACTCATGTTCAGCGCGATAGTCTTTCGCGCTGGGGTCAAGGTGATGGATCCTTGACGAATCGAACAATCGTGTTCGATAACGATCACTCGTCGTCGCCGACAAGTGATCCATGACTGATTTTGGAGGCATCCATGCCTTCTTTTCTGGAGCGAGACGCAACACATTGCGGTCCCGCTCTTCCTGCGACGTGCCGACAGAAGTACTGGCACCTCGCTGTGAAGTGGTGTCCATTGGAGAACCGACACCACTATTAGCGCCCGAGTCTCGCGACCTCGAGCGCCTTCGCTTCGGCGATGGTTCATCTGACTCATCAGATGAACCAAAGATGCTGCGACGCAAAGCATCGTCCATGCCACGCTTGGCAGGCGGCTTAGATTCAATCGCCGTCGATACGGATCCGTCATCCGTATCAGGAGAGTACGAGACACCGAGCTCATACTCTGTGAAGACACGAGTGTCTTCATGACCAGCGTCTGCATCACCAAGTGACACAGGCTGAGTCGCTTCAGAAACCGATGAGACATCAGTTGCAGCGGTTTCTGCTTCGGCGTCCGCACAGAGACGTGCAGACGCGCTCTCGGCGGCCTTGCTCGCGCATCGCATGGGCTTGTTAACCATGCGATGAAATGTTGGAAAGTGGACGCGGACCAACAAGTGCAAACCCTGTCCCAAATGATTTGGGACGAGTATCCATTTAGTCAATCAGTCACTAAAGTGACTGATGGTTAAGGGGGGGGTGATGTAACGGGGTGAACCGTTACATAACAATTTATAAGAAATTGTTAATAGAATATAACTATAAGAGTTATATTCTCAGAATATTGTCATAAGGACAAATATTCTGTAGCACTTACAAGTAGTTCCTAATTGGTTGATATAGGCCATTATATCAACCAACGAAGACGCGCCACGACAGACGCACGCAATGAGTGGTGAGCAGATAACTGATTTACACATTTGTATTTAGACATAGTTAGATGAGGATAAATAGTGATTTATTGCAGACATTAACTATTATAAATACAGTTCTACTTTTTACTCTAACCAAATACTCGCTTCTTCTTACCGTCTTCCTCTGCACGTAAGAGTGTACGTGAAGTTACGAGGCACCGCCTTATTCTGTTATCAGAATAAGTAGCTTGTACTGTCACCAGTACAAGCTTCAGGGTGCCCCGTAACATTAGTCATGCTTGTAACGGGGTGAACCGTTACATAACAATTTATAAGAAATTGCTTATAGAATATAACTAGAAGAGTTATATTCTCAGAATATTGTCATGAGGACAATATTCTGCAGCACTTTCGATTAGTTCCTAATTGGTTGATATAGGCCATAATATTAACCAACGAAGACGCGCCACGACAGACGCGCCACGACAGACGTACGCAATGAGTGGTGAGCAGATAGTTGATGCACACATTTGCATTTAGACATAGTTAGATGAGGATAAACAGTGGTTTATTGCAGACATTAACTATGATAAACACAGTTCTACGTTTTACTTTAACCAAGTACTCGCTTCTTCTTACCGTCTTGCTCTGCACGTACCAGTGTACGTGAAGTTACGAGGCACCGCCTTATTCTGTTATCAGAATAAGTAGCTTGTACTGTCATCAGTACAAGCTTCAGGGTGCCCCGTTACACCTGGTAGCACTTCGTAGTCCGTCCAAAGGACCACGTTCACGTCCAACATGAATATGTTGGATGACGAATATGACCAAAGCTTTCACGCTACGCGCGACGGCTACTCCCATTTAAGCGATGTCGAATGGGATGCGGTTGAACGGATGGGTTCAACCATGGGCATCCATGCTGTTAGCGTCATGCTAGTGGCTCTCAATAGAGATGCCTAACATGCTACTGTCGCCAAGTTGATTCAAAACGAACTTGACGCAGAACGCGAGAAAGTAGCCTTGCTTCACCAACAAGGTTCTCAACAAGCAGAGTCGTTGGGAGAAATCAGGGTGCTCAACAGTTTGAACTGTTGAGACAGCAGCACGCTGCTGCTGGTGGGTCGATGCATTCGCGTCGACCCGAGACCTTGAAGATCGACATCTCCAAGTATAGGGAAGTCGAAGAGGACTCCCTCTTGAGATGGTTCGTCGAATTGGATGACGCCATAAGGGCGCGTCGCATCGACGACGGGGAAATGCAAGTTGCATTTGCCCAGTCAAATCTGGCAGGACGTGCCAAGACTTGGGCTTTGGGGCTCAAGCTGCACGACCCACATGCGTTTGGGTCGTTAGAAGTCTTCAAGTCGCGGCTCAGACAAACGTTTGAACCGCCTAGAGCTGAGTTCAGAGCTCGAACCGAACTCTTGAAGCTCAAACAGAGTAAGCGTGATGTGCACGCTTACGCTCAACACATACGACACCTCACGAGTTGTGTAAGTTCCAATCCAGTGGATGAACACACGTTGGTTTCGGTGTTCATGCAGGGTCTTGCGGATGGTCCCATAAAGACTCACCTTTTCCGAATTGAACTAGATTCACTAGAACAAGCCATTTCCATTGCGGAGCAGGAAGACTTCAGTCTGAGACAGGCTCGCGCCAGCTCGACATCATATCGTCAACCGAGACGATATGACAACGGAGGTCCAGAGTCGATGGAACTCTGTTATGTAGAGAGCGAGAAGGCTCGCTCTACAGGCTACAAGAAGTTGCAGAGATGCAACAGATGTCAAAAGACAGGACACTACGCTTACGAGTGTAGTGCGCCTCGTCCAGTGTCTCGCAACACTGGGCGTAGTGACCGTCCACCCATGAGAAAGGTGCAGGGACGCGGGTCCGCTGTTGGTGCAAAGACGCAACGACGGGATGGACCGTAAAAAAACGGACAGGATCAGTAGGTGCGGAGCACCCTACTGGTCCAGCAACGTCAAGAGAATTTGTAGGTCTCTTGTTGAAGGTTGCTCCCAACACACAAATATTGTGCGTTGCTGCACTAGGTAATGAGCTCTCACTCATTACCTTGAAACTCGAAGTGACAAATAAGTTGTCCCTTCGAGCTCTAGTCGATTGTGGGGCGTCCAACAATTTTGTGTGACGCCAATCGCTAGAAGATGGTCACTTTAAATTCAGTGAATGTGACACACCTCCTACGAGGATGACGGTACGTCTTGCGACAGGCGCATCCGTAACCGTCATGAAGCGTATAGTGAAGATTCGCTATACGCTAGAAGATACCCAATATGACGATGACTTTATCGTATTGAATTTGGATGACAAATTTGATGTCATCCTTGGAATACCGTGGCTCAGAAGGTACGAACCACGAGTTAACTGGCAACATCGAACAGTAACGATGCCTGCCGCTTGTTCATCAGATGGCCATCTGATGAACGTTTTGGAGCGTCCACAAGCGTGTG